TGGGTAGTTGGCTACCAAGCAGTTCGTCACCAAGTAGTTCTCCCCCAGGGAGTTCGCCACCAAGTAGCTCATCACCAAGGCACGTCACCACCGGGTCAAACAACGAGGTACTTAGCCAAAAAATTTATACATCACAAAAAATGGTACGTGGCCAAAAACGGTTACATCACCTACCATTAGCCAGTCTGTTAAGTGGCATTTGAAAAGACACAAATGCCCTTTGAGTATCATCTAATTCTCTTTATCAACCATCCAAACGTTGATAAAAAATGAATAGTCCAAAATCCTTACATCTTCTATTTAAGAAAGTTGGAGTCATGTCAATAAGCATTCTAGTGACCCCAACTTTCTTGAATAGAAGAGGCAAGGATTTGAGACTATTCGTTTTTTATCAATATTTGGATAATTGATAAAGAAAACGAGATGACACTCGAAGGACATTTGTGTCTTTTCAAATACCACTTAACGTCAGGTACTGGATTGGTACGTTTTAAAAATTCAGATATTGAATTGTCGTGTTGTAAATTTCGAGAATCAAAGTGGCAGTAGGCCCAAATTACAATTATTGATCGAGAATTTTCCCATTCACTAAAAAGATAGGAAGAAGTGGAGAGAGTTTGTGGTTTCGAAGGCCGTATGCCTGAAGGACAAGAATACTCGATCTGATTCCAAAGTCCATATGACCTTTGATATTGTGAGGTTAAGTGCCTGTCTGATTTCACTTCAAACAAGTACTTTTTTTTATAAGTACTTAATAAAAGTGTTGGGACCACACATTAATCGGAAAATAAGCATTTGTGGGTGTTTGGTAAAAAAGTACCGAAAAAGTACTTATTTGATAAAGAAGTACTTATTATAAAAGCCACTTGAGAGTTACTTTCTTTTAAGTACTCGTTAATAAGTGGACCTGCAAAAATTTTGGGACTAAAAAGTCCCTGTTTATTTTTTTGAATACCTAGAATGCCCTCGTCTCTCTCCTTAAACCCCCTTCTTCCTCACTTGAATAGGAGCGAACATACCAATAGCAACACCTTCCTTTGGAGCGGTCGGCGATCGTCGGACGAGCTACAAACTCACCAACGACCAAGTCAGATTCACGTTTGGACTTTTTTTCTACATATATTTTTGAATATTTTGGTTCTTTTTTGAGATTTTAAATGCTTGAAACCCTCTTTACCAGATCTAGTTTTTGGGGCGATTTCAGGCATTCTCATTGTGCTCTCGCTGGCAGCACTCAGGTCAGCCATCCTCCTCCCTCGTCTTTGTTTTAGAACTATTTTTAGTGCAATATTTTGATTAAAACCGATGCATGAGTGATGGCTAAAATTTTCATTTGTGTCAATATATGCATTTATTGGGAAAGTAACTTACCAAATGTCCCCACCCTAATAAGTGTTTGAAAACATAATAAGTGATTTGGCAAATGGATTACCAAACAGCCTTAAGTGATTGTTAAAATAAGTACTTCTAAAAAGTACTTCTTTTAAGAATCACTTAATTATCAAATAGGGCCTAATTGATGATTGAGTACTTGTTGAAAAAATTTTTAGAAATACTTATTTTAACAACCCTTTAGGCTGTTTGGTAACTCACTTTTCATATCACTTATTATGTTTTTAATTACTTATTGGGGTGGGAATGTTTGATAAACTATTTTCCTTATAAGTGCTTATATTCATATAAATGACAATTTTAACCCTCACTTCACTCATAAACCTCCACGTGGGCTGCCATGTAATAACCTATTGTCACCGTCGTCATTTTATAACAGTTCAAGTGTTCTTTGGCAAACATTTGATTCGCCGACTGACACTCTCCTATCAGGCCAAGTTTTGGTTGCGCAGAAAGCTATATTCCAATGCAAATGGGACCGTCGACTACTCCACCGGAAACTTCATGTTGGAGATGCAGAACGATAGTAATCTGGTGCTCTCTGCTTATCATTTCGCAGATCCTGGTTACTGGGTCTCAAACACGATAAACACTAATAATGTGAGCCTGGTTTTCAACCGGACGAATGCATTCATGTACCTGAAATACCAGACATCACCCTCCCATTAACGGAGGATGTGCCAATGCCCACCGAGGACTACTACGACAGAGTGACGTTGAACGGCCATGGAAATTTGCAGCAACATGTGTACCAGAAGAAGAAAAACAGTCAATGGAAAATGGTGTGGAGAGTAATAACCGAGCCCTGCACGGTGTATGCTATTTGTGGGGTGTACGGGATTTGCTCTTCACCAGATAATGAGACAGTCAGCTGTGACTGCCTCCCGGGTTACCGCCCCTTAGATCCCAATAACATTGCTAAGGGATGCTACCCAAAGATCAAGCCGGATCATTGTATAGAGAAGCCATAATTGACGAATTTCACGGTGGAAGTGATCGATGATGCAGATTTTCCTAATGCCGGTTTTGCAAATTTGGGAAGAGTAACACCAACAGACGAAGAGGGCTGTAGGAAGGCACTCATGGATGACTGTTATTGCATGGCTGCTTCATTTGTCAATTCAACTTGTTACAATAAGAGGATGCCAATTCTGAATGTTAGAATTAGCCGCAATTCTACAAATGGGTATAAGGCGTTAATCAAAGTGCCGAAACAGATTAGTGATGGAGGAGGTATTCTGGATGGTGATCATGGCGGGAAGAAGTCTGTAAGTCGGGGTCTACTGAAAGCTGGTCTTTTCATAAGTGTGGCGTTTGCTCTGTTGTTCGCAGCTCTTGCCGTCTACTATCACCCTTTAGTTGGACGACTCATCAGACGATCCAGAAGGCCCTCTGCAGATGTGGACGCTATGTTGATTAACCTGAGAGCTTTTACATTTGAGGAGCTGCATGAAGCAACATGTGGGTTCACAACAAGACTAGGCCGAGGATCATTTGGGATGGTTTACAGCGGGACCCTGATCATAGAGGATAAACAGATTGAGATTGCTGTGAAGGCTCCGGAGAAGATAGCTGTTGCTGAACAAGTCGAGAAGGAGTTTGAGGCGGAGCTGACGGCTATTGGTCGAACACATCACAGGAATCTGGTTCGCCTGTTGGGCTTCTGTAATGAGAACAAGCACCGGATTTGGTTTACGAGCTAATAAAGAATGGAACTCTCTCTGGTTTGCTCTTCAAGCAAGGGGAGAAACCGAGTTGGGAGCACAGAGTGGAGTGTATAGAGGAAAGAGACCAAACGGAAGGTCCTCCGGCCACGGTTCTTCACCGCCGATCGTCGCCGGTGGACCTGCAACTGATGTGCCACTGCTGCTGGGGTTTGAAGGTCAAATAAGTGGAGAAGGGGGAGGTATAATCTCGCGGGGGTAAGTATTTAAAAACAATTTAATGTGTGGTCCCATATCTTAAAGAAGTAAAGTAAAAAAAGTACTTATTTTTTAAGTGTTCTCAAATACTTTAAATCTGCTTCGGGAGTAAAAGAGAGACCAGAGTTCGGAGACGGGAAGTACATATTGCGATTGCGATTAGCAGGCAGGTAAGTTGATTTAGTTTGGTTCTTTCGTGGTCGAGGTGCTGTCGGAATCGACTCAGGAGGGGGATATTGCTGTTAGGCTACAGCAGATCCGGCTTCTCTTTTCCCCTTTCTATTTCCTGTATTAAAAACCAACGCCGCAATTGTTTCCCACTTTGTTAGGGTTTTGCTTTGCATATTGCGGGAGAAGAAAAGCTGCGTAGACGACGATGGCGGACGAGGACTACAACGAAATGGATATGGGGTTTGTACCTCTCTCTCTCTCTCCCTCTCCTCTGGTGTGTGTGTGTGGAGACACTAAAACACTTGCCTATTTTCTGTTGGTTTTCGAGATTTAGTAATTAGGGTTTTCTCTTCTTCCACGTACTACGGTTTAGTTCCTATTTGTTCGACCCTGTTCTCTTTCTTATTTGGTATGTAAATTCCTTGTTCGAATCTTTTTTTTTTCTTTTTGCAAAAAGTATATAAGATTCGTATTACTTCGCAAAATGATAAAATATACAAATAGAGTACATTCAGGTGATACACTGATCTAGTCACCGCCTGTTAGGAAATTTAGCTATAGCTCTATCTAAACAAGGACATAAGGAACTTCTCTATATTTGTTTCTGACAGATAGCTAGGAATGAAACAATCCGTTTCTTTTCCTTAGAACGACTTCCTGAGAGGCGACCCTATCTAAAACATGATCGCAGTTGTTTCTTTCCAAAGCAACCAGAAAGACAACAAAACGGGTATATTGCTCTGTGAGCTTCCCTTTCTTACTCAACCCTTTATTTGCTAGCGTAAGAGGCTATCTTGTGATCTGGTAAATTCACAACACACACAAAGATATTCTGTTAGAACAGAGCCTTGGAGAGATGCATGAGTGACTGAACCATTGGGCAGTCGAATGGACGTATGAACAGGTTTAGAAGGATAGAAAAAAGAGGGAGATGATATCATGTGGTTAGATGCACCACTATCCACAATCCATTCAATAGGAGGTGTGGAGTGCTTACCAGCGGTGACATTTGCAACGAAGTCAAATGACTCTTGGTTTAACAGGGAAAGGAGTTGTGAATATTGGTGCATGGTAAGACCTACTATTGGAGATGTTTGATCCACAGATGCAACAGATTTGTCATCAGCAGAGGCACAAGAGGCTGGTCGATCAGTCTTGGAAGAATTGGCTTGATGTGTTGGAGCTTTGTTAGTTCGGCAACGATTCCAATTGGGAGGATAGCCTATGAGAGCATAGCTCCGGTCTTTGGTGTGGCTTGTGCGTGTGCAGTGGTCACATGAATTTTGATCGGGGATTACCATTCTTGGAAGTATTTGCTGCTAGAGCTTCTACTTTAGGTCAGGTTGTAGTACACAGGGAGAAACCACCAATTGATGTTGCTCTTCTTCTTGAGTGATAAGGGCATAAGCCTTACTCAGTGAGGGCAGAGGCTTGGACCCGAGGGTACTTGACAGAATGGCATTAAAGGACTCATTGAATCCCATGAGAAATTGATGTAGTTGCTCTCTTTCATGCTTTGTTGCAAGGGCTTTGGATGTTCCATAGGTACATTTTGGATATTCTGCAAGAGAGCTGAGTTCATCCCATAGAGTCCTCAGTTTAGTGAAATATGTTGTCACCGATGATTTGCCTTGTTGAAGAAGAGCAAGGTCTCGCTTCAGTTGATGGATATGTGGGATATTAGCCTGAGAAAACCATTCTTGGATCTCTTTCCAAATATCAGCAGAAAACTTGATGAAGGTCACATTGTCGTATCTCTTTGTTCAGTGAAGTGAAAATCCATGCAACTACCATGGAGTTGCACTTAATCCAGGCATTTAGATCTGGCTCATTGGAAGCCGGACATGGTAAAGATCCATCAACAAAGATGAATTTATTCTTTGCCCTCAGAGCATTGGTCATGCCTTGTCGCCACATCGAGAAATTGTCTCCGGTGAGCTGGCATGATACAAGAGTAGCTCCCGGGCTATCAAATGGATGCAAGAAGTATGGAGTGTTTACTGTGTTCTCTATTGCGAACTGGTGGTTATGGTCTAGATCTTAAGTGGAAAAAAGAGGAGATAGAAAAACAGAGCACAAGAGGAGACGGCAAGGAGAAGAAACAGAGCAGCTTTGGTGCAGAAATTGGAGGAAGACGATGGAAACTAGAGCTTTCAACACTGGATTTGAGGAGAGTGAGAATGGAACTCTGACGCAAGATTTTGGAGCAGAGGGTGCGGTGGTGGTGGCGGAGGAACTATCGCTTTGATACCATGACGACAAGTATCAGAGAAGAAGAATTATTGAATTGAATTAATGTAGGAAGATACATGTGATATATATAGGCATGGGTTTACAGCTGTTATAACAGTTTTGTACACGTGGCAAGTGAGACAACTGTGGTAACTAATCTTGATATTGGCAGCTATAGTAACTGTTCTTGGTATTCTTGATATTCCAACATGTTAACTCGTCCACTTCTGAGCAAAGCACATAGCTAGTCAGCTAGAGATGAAAACTTTTCTTTTAAGAAGTCGATCCTCAATAATTTAGGAGCTTAGTAAAAGATTGAGTTGGGCACTTGCTTTTCCCATTATGGTGTTTCACTCTCGAGTAACATCTTGCATGTGGAATGGGGATGTTCCCTTAACACGAAATATTTATTTTATGTGTTTTGTCCATCAAATGCTGCTAGTACGGACTCGTAAAGACAGTTTAAATCAATACCCATAGGTAGCTGCAGGGGGTAGATTACAGAGTTTCAATAATTAAATAGTTCCATGTCATGTAGCAGAATTAATCATATGAATAATGTAAGTGGAGAATAATCTACTATGTTATTTGTGTTGGGCCAAAGTCGTTGGTTCCTTATTTCTTGTGTCAAAGAAAAAAAATAATTTTCAGTCTTCTGTTGCCTCTAAATAATCTTGTAGAGCTAGAAAATTTTACATGATCAATTAAACTAGTATTGTGACTACCATTTGGCGTACTGCAGTTTTATATAGTTTTGCATTTATTCATGCTAAAATGCGATCGATTTGCTTGAACTCTGGACTTGTTGAGCTCAATACAGTTGGATTTGAACTGTGAGGCTTAGTGCCCAGGCCGACCTTTTCCAGTGGTTGCGATTATCTCATTTTTCTTGAAACTTGCAATTGACATCGTTAAATTTGAAGCCTTAGCTATTTAAGAATGACCAAGCCTACCATTCCTTCTTAGGCATCAATTATGTCTATAGATCAATCTTGCTTTGTTGATTAGTTAATATTTCAAAATAGGATATACATTTCAGTAATTTTCTTGTTCCAGCCTGAGCTGATTGATGTTTTCCATTGAATCAATCCGGTCTGACCTAGTACAGCTTTTTTGGTCTGCATATCATCATCATAGCCTTTTTTTATCAGTAAACATGTATTTTATTAAATTTCAGATTGTGAACAGTTTATACAATTTGGTGATGGGACTGTTGATCCCTTTAATCACTCTATTCTATCGCTCATTACAGTGCAGCCCAAAATAGTTGTTGTCTCTGCCCTCTGTTTTGCTAAAACATTAGCTAGCCCATTTGCACTTTTTCGGACCCATTTAAATTCAGCCTCAACCTCCTTTGCAATCTTTTCCACTTCCCTTATCACATGTTTAAACGTCCATGGGGTATGGCTGCTGTTTGCTGCCCAGGAAATTACTATTTTTGATTCCCCTTCCCTAATCACATCATCATCATAGCCTTGTCCCAACTATATGGAGTTGGCTGCATGAGTCCTGTTTTGCCATTCTGTTCTGTATTATTGAATTATGGACACTTAAATCATTTCTTATTAGTTATTTTTTTCATCCAAGTCCTTTTCAGTCTGCCCCCTAGCTCTTCTAGCTCCTTTGACATTAACAGATCACTTTTCCTAACAGGTGCCATAGATGGTCTTCTATGCACATGCCAAACCATTGCAATATACTGTTTCTCATTTTATCACCTATTGGAGATATTCCTAGGTTCCTTGGCTCATTCATATGACCTTGTATGACCCTGTTGGTCTGTACCAATGACCAAAGTTGTGTAGTTTCTGTTCTGTATCTAAAGCATTTTTAAACCTAGTATTTTTGGAAATATTTATATTTTCTTGTTTCCTTAACCTTTATGCTTTCCTTATACTTTGCTTGAAATAAATGTACTAATGCTGACAAGAAACCTATTCCTGTAGGTATGAAGATGAGCCAATAGAACCTGAGGTTGAGGTAAAAAGAACTAAACAAATAAATCTTTGGATGTGCTTCTAAATTGTCTTCAAGGCATCAACTGTTATATATGTCTAGTTGAATTGATCAAGATATTGGCTAATTATTAGGAAGGAGCAGAGGAGGATGTGGATAACAATAACAATGAAGACGTCCCTGATCCTCTTATGGCTGAAACGGAAGAGAAGGAGGAACAAGAATCAGTTGAGCGACGAAGAAAGACATCAAAATATATGACTAAGTATGAACGTGCTCGTATCTTGGGTACACGTGCCCTGCAGATCAGGTTTCATTCTTATGCTTCCTTATCATTCTAAAATTTTTGTTAAAGGATAATAATTATGAAGCTTTATAATGACCTATGATGCCTATTGAACAGTATGAATGCACCTGTGATGGTTGAGTTGGAGGGTGAGACTGATCCGCTTGAGGTAAGCTCTCTTACAAAGACTACTTGAAAGAATGAAAAGCAACTGGCACATGCATCCACACTACACCTAATGAAGAAAAAATGGATACAGCTACTCATGGGTTAGAGTTGCACTGTAAGAAAAAAGTTTGTGTGATTTTTGAACATGGCATTTGTAGGGTTGTTAAAAAGGCATTGCATTTTTCTCTCATATAATTTTATGTTATGGTAACTGGTAAGGGTGCTTTAATCCAAAAGTATTAACAACCCACCCCGCCCCTACCCCCAATTTCCTAGTTGCCACTTGGCTTTGTCTATGTGCATCAAGGGTGATATATTAGTTATTTTAAAAGCATTGACTGCCTCATAAGTTTGTTTTGCCAAAATTTTCCCTATTATCAGGTAGGCACATTCAGATACTGTTCACTGTTCTCCCTCTCCATGGAAATGAACCATGTATTTGGATTGTTCATGGCATGATAACTTCGATTATGTCTATCTAACCCTTTGTGCCCTCTAGATGTCGATTAACTCATTACTCATAGGAAGGTGGTTGTGCTTCTTCTTTATTTTTTACCAAATATGAATTTGTTCTGATTTATCAAGAATGTCCCACTGTGTGAATCACAGACCAATCCATTGTTTGAACAATACAATTAGTCCTAGTGAGAAGATGTTCTTGTATGTGTGACATCTTTGTGAAGGGAGCAAGAATTCTCTGGTGATTCAAACCTCCTGGTGTATCATATTCTTTTTTTTTTTTATCATCACTGGTGTATCATATTCTTGTCATTTAAGAAATCTCTATTACCAGAAAATCTACACTAGGTGATTCAAACCTCCTGGTGTATCATATTCTTTTTTTTTTTTATCATCACTGGTGTATCATATTCTTGTCATTTAAGAAATCTCTATTACCAGAAAATCTACACTAGGTGATTCAAACCTCCTGGTGTATCAAATTCTCTGGTTAATGGGGAAAATGGAGAAGAATTTTAATTGGTGGATGGTTAAGTGACAAACTGATAATTTGCATCTTATGCTTGGATTATCTGATTAGGATTTGAGATTTCCTCATGACCCATGACATGCCAAACTCCAGACTCCATATTTTGTTCTACGAATGCTGTCTTGTACTGAACATGCATATTGCCCAAATTCTGAATTTTTATTTTTCTTCCATTAAACTGAACATTTCTATCAAGTTGTTATAAATAAATATAAATAATTGACTGTTATAACAAGTAAAATTGTTTCTGCCTTCTCTAAAAATCCTCCTTGTTGGTTATTAAATTGCCGATTCAATTTTCACCTTTTTTGGTAAATGAATCAATTTTTATCAGATTGAATTATTCATAGGTTGGACCTGGAGGCTGGATCTCATGTTTGTAAATTTTAGCTGATATTGGCTCTGATTATTTGTAGTGTGCTTCACCAGATCAAACCCATCGTCCGATCTATTTTGAACAGATATATGCTATTGTACACCAATACAACATGTCTGTTCCAATTGATTTCTTCTTTTCTATTTTTTTCTAATCACAATTTTTTTTGATGGATTTTTTCTTATCACATTTTAATGGAGATACTTGGGATGCAACTTGGGTGAGCCTGTGTTGGGAAATTACTACAATTTGAATGGGCCTGTCCCATGGTTTAGAAAACTGGACTGGACTGGATGGTTGGATTAGTTGACCCAGGAACCGGTCAGGTAACTGGTTCTGTTTCACCCTAAAACCACTTTTTGGCTAAAAACTGTTGATTTGGTTAGTGACCTGCTGACCTGGGTGGTTGAACCGTCAACCCGAGCAACGGTTTTGGCCATTTATTTTTTATTTTTAAGTCAGAATGGGCTGTCCATTCGAACCGGATGGTCGGACCATTTGACCTGGGAACCAGTCCCCAGAACGGTTCCTTGTCCGGTTCGGTCCAGTTTTTAAAACCTTGGTCTGGCCTGAAAGCGTAGGTCCAATGGAGTGTAAATTCTTCAACTCCACCCCTAGGAATACTTGGTCATTGTCTGTTGTATTGGTGGGGGAGATGGCACACAGAGGCTTCTTTATTTTGAGGATATGCATTGGTATGGTAATATTAGTCAAGGTAGATGATTCACTCAATTATCTGTCTTCTAATGTTCTAGATTGCAATGAAAGAACTCCGAGAGCGAAAGATACCCCTAGGAATACTTGGTCATTGTCTGTTGTATTGGTGGGGGAGATGGCACACAGAGGCTTCTTTATTTTGAGGATATGCATTGGTATGGTAATATTAGTCAAGGTAGATGATTCACTCAATTATCTGTCTTCTAATGTTCTAGATTGCAATGAAAGAACTCCGAGAGCGAAAGATACCCTTCACCATACGACGCTACTTGCCTGATGGAAGGTAAGTTTCTTGGTCCAACTTCACTTCTGTGGGTCTGTTTCTCTTAACAGCAAAGGAACCAATGTGTGCATGGCATTTCTAAACACCTTTATAACTCGGCAGCTATGAAGATTGGGGAGTTGATGAGCTGATTGTGGAAGATACCTGGAAGAGACAGGTGGGAGGTGACTGATCGATGCACATGGTTTGGAACAATATTAAGAAACGTTCACTGACATTGTCAAAGAGGTTTTGGTAGCCACTGTAATTTGAGTGGCAAAGACCTGCTCTTTCTATAGTGTGTTAATGCCAAGCTACGAACTTGTATACCTGTAATTGTGTTTTAGTACTAGAGTGCGTGAAGATGGACATTAGAATGGATTGTGGAATACAAGAACAATGTTTACTGTAGACAGTTCTCTTGGAAATTAAAGAAAGTCTTACCTAAGGAAAGCTTTAGGCTTCTTTTTTTTTTATGGTGCAACATAGTACAGTTTCACAACGAGGGTGATATTGGTTACAATATTGGGGTGGCCTAAGTTACTTGATTTTCAGCTTTTTAATCGCTAGACTACTCCCAAAGTCCCAATAATATGCTAAAGGTGATGAAAACTATCAATCAGGCAATAAACAATGTATGTCCGAGCAAGTGGAGACTACTGATCTCAACTGAAATGAAGTAGAATCATAGAATGCTTGTAATGCACAATAGGACAGCACGCCAAAGAGGACCTTTGATATTAGATTAGATGTGTTTATACCCGTCTTGTATTTTGATTTTTGCGCTTTGTACCAAAGTCTTGCACTACATGGTTAGTCCCATGGCCATTACCCAACACCCAAAGGAGAATGGGGATGCATCCTGCGGCCTTTTTATGCTGTAAATTTTGTAATAATCTAAGCCTTGTCCCGCCTATATGGGGCAAGGTTCAAAATTTCGTTACGTATTGGCCTGTATTGGCCGATATGTATCGTATCTTTGAGGTTTCAGCATGGGGAATGGTATCAAATCCTTAACATTATTCTTTGTTGTCGTGTGGAAAGCGTATCATGCCTGTATTGGTAATGTTTTGGTGAGTATCAGCCTGTTTTGGTGCTATAATGCGATTTTATTGTTACGGAAATTACAAAAAAACTTTATTTAAAAGAAGGCTTTTAAACCTATTTCAGAAGCCCTTTTTTTTTTTTCAAACCCTTTAGAAACCTTCACACCATTCATAGAGATTGAAATATAGCCAAAATCTACCAAAACATCCACAAATTTGTAAGATCCAACAAGTTTTTCAAGATTCTTAAAAAATGAACGAAAATATGTATTTTCTTTTTTACAATCAAAGCCAATGTTTTGTGTTTTTTTTTTTTTAGTTTGGATGCTTAGAATCATCTTTTTGTTTGTTGATATGCTATTCTGGTGAAAAAAACCTCACTTATTTTGCTCCTATATGTAGATCTTTGTGAATATTTGAAGAAATTCCAGAATAGTAAATAAATCTGAAAGAAATGAACATTTTAGGTTTTTCTTGTTATCTACCTCTAAAAATTGACTATGTTGTAGATCTATGGATAATCTACCATGTCCACAGATCAATTGAAATTTCTTGTAAATAATTGATTTTTTTAATCTTTCAATTTTTGGAATAATATATAATATATAGATGATTTCTTCAATTTTATGTGATCTAACCCTATAGGTTGAATATGTTGTAGAGCTAAGACTGACATCAATATATTGAAATATCATGTGAAAAATTTAATTTGTTTTTTCTTTAATTTTTAATTTTTAGATTATAAATATTTATTTATTTCTCTAATTTTTTGCTATGGTTTAAATTCTAATAATAAATATTTACAGTAAATATATGGATGATCTATTATGTCCATAAATCCATTCAATTTTTCTGTTACATATTTACATTTTAAAATTTAGTTTAATTTTTAGAATAAAACATGAAAATAATTATTTGAAGAAAAATAAATATTTAATTAGTTTTTGGAATGAAACATGCAAAATAAGTATTTCATCTATTATGTCCATAAATCCATTCAATTTTTCTGTTACATATTTACTTTTTTTTTAAATTCTAATTTAATTTTTAGAATAAAACATGAAAAGTAATTATTTGAATAAAAATAAATATTTATTTAATTTTTATAATGAAACTTGCAAAATAAGTATTTCATCTATTATGTCCATAAATCCATTCAGTTTTTCTATTACATATTTACTTTTTTTTTAATTTTAATTTAATTTTTAGAATAAAACATGCAAAATAATTATTTGAATAAAAATAAATATTTATTTAATTTTTAGAATGAAACATGCAAAATAAGTATTTCATCTACTATGTCCATAAATCCATTCAATTTTATTATTACATATTTAATTTTTTTAATTTTTAGAATAAACATGCAAAGTAAGTATTAACTTTAGAATAAAGTAATAGATGTACATGAAGCCATTCAAAAAAATATTTGTTTAATTTTTAGAATAAAACATGCAAAATAATTATTTGAATAAAAATAGATAATTATTTAAAAGATACGAAAAAAATGTTTGATTCAATTATTACAAATTTTACATAATTATTTGATTCAATAATTGTTAATTGTTTAATTGGATTAGATAACACTTGGCAAAATGTTTAAAACAATTAAAAATAATTTTTAGTAATATTTAAAAATATTAAAAAATACAGAACAAAAGGCATTGATATATTTCACATGATAATCTATAATTTGAATGTGAATATAATTGTGGCCTAAAAAATATGAAACCAATTATTATTTGTTTAATTGGATACTTGTGTTACATAATAATTAAAAAAATATTTATTTTTTTTAAATTTCATAATAACAATTGAAAATTAGTTTACTAACATATTAACACTTAAAATTGGATAATTCATATAATAATTGATTTTTTATTTTATTCATGTAAAGTTGTAAAAATCATATTGGGATTCAAATGTTGAATTTGTAAATTATAATAGATTTAAAATTTGAAGTTGGAACTTGGAAGATTGGAACTTAATCAAGTACTTTATTAGATAGTATGTTAATGTTTCTGCTTGTTGATTATAATATGTTTTTTCATAAAACCCATTAAAACATGTGATTTTTATGTATAAATAGCTTGTTTAAGTCTTATATTTAGTGATATTGATGTTTATTTATGATTTATTAGAGTATTTATAACATTTTCATGTGTATATTAATTTTTCGCCTGTATTCATGCGTATCCAAAGCGTATCTTGATACATCTCTTAAATTTGCCTTTCCAATACATGTAGGATTTCCAATACTTTGAACCTTGATATAAGGTCAGTAAAATGTCTATCTTGTCACATTCTATTGTGCTCAATATAATCCATTGTTAAATTATGGATGCTCAAATCATTTTTAAATGATGTGAAAAGGATATTTGTTATTAACTTAATATCAATCATTTACAATCTTGCAGCTTCTTTTTATGTCTGTGACCAAACTATATTAATTTCTCACATTTTATCACCTATTGGAGTTATTTCTAGGTTTGTAAGACTTCATTTTTGACATTATCCTTTTTAATTTTACTACTCTGCTCCATATAAGAATCTAGATGCATTCCACCATTTGTCCATTTTGCTCTAATTCTATGAATTCATCCTCATTCTCAATTAAAGTTCAAGGAAGAGTCACATTAAGTCACCCCTTGGTCTTTATTCCCAAGTGTTTTGCAGTACTATAGCTAAAAATTGAGATTTGAGTAAAAACTTGGCAAAATTAGTGGGCCAAGGTACCTTGCCCACTAATTTTGGCGTCTGGAAGTATTCTTGATTTGTAGTTTGTGACCTACTGTTCGGGTTTAGTGGGTCAGCGGTTCAACCGCCTCAGGTGGATCATTGACCAAATCAATGATTTTTAAAATAATGTCAGATGTTAGGTTAATCTAGACCAAGATCATAATTGAGCCACGGGTTGAATGGTCCAACCGAGTGAGTGAACCACGAATTAACCAGCAGAAATGCTCTTATCCTACGAAAATCAAAGCTGTTTCTATTTGATGTGGGTGTTAGCCTATTTTAAAAGAAAGTGTTTCCTCTTCTTTTTAATGAGATGTATTATGTGACTCCGGATCTCCTGTTCATGAGAATTCTGCCCATGCCTACCTACAATACATCATCCCCATAAATTGGGAATATCTCTCTCTGCATAATACCGTATTATGTGGGTAGACGTAGGTAGAATTTGTGTATCCGGATATGTACTCGTGTATACGCCCGACACCTGATTTCTCCATCAACATTGCAATAGTAAAAGACAATATTTTGGCGAAATAATACAAACCACCATACATATCTCTCCTTTTTCCTCCCTTACTTACCATGAGATTTGGCATCTAAATTTGTGATCCCTTCATTAGAGATGGCCCACCAAAATTTGTGAGACTTGTGGTTTTAGCATGATTGCGGCATTACATTTTCTGTCTCCAATTTTGGGGTATACCAAAATTGGATCAATTGGTTTCAGATTTGCAGCATTACAATAAGCGCGGTCTTCCCTTCTTCATTGAAGACTGAAGAGAGATGCTTAGAGTGGCTGTTTGCTTGTTGATGACTCTAGCTGCCTCCGTCGTCTTATGGTGGTTTTATGCCAAGAATGTCCAGATCCCCATCAACCCAGTTGCTGATATTAGAAGGGTATCTCTCTCTTACTTTCAGTAGAAATAGAAACCTGCAAAATTAAGAAGGATTTATGTTGTTAACAGTATGTGATTTTAATTTTGATACATCAAATGTTATTAATCCTCATATATATAAAATTATTTGATGCTTTATCTTGATGACTGAGTCTGAATAAAAAAGTCTAATGTACGAGGCTACTGCCTATATGGGTTTTGGATGTATACAGCCTTACTCCTGTCCTGCACATAGAGAGAGAGAGTCTGTTTTCAAGATTTGAACAATGGAACAACCCAACTGTTGCACCAAGGCCAGATGGATGGAGCCTTAATTCATAGTGTGATATGTCTCTCTGAGTTTTGGTGGCCTCATAGTCTCTGATCTTCGCTGGAGTACTGGTCATTACTATATAAGGCAAGCCTATTGATGAGGTTGACCGGAAACTCTGCCAACATGTGATACGTGTTCAAGACCAAGTCATGGAGGTACTAAGATGCACAAACAACTGATTAACAAGTAATAACTACCGATTATACATTGGGCACTGAGCGCCTCTTTTAGAGGGCTAAAGCTTTGGTTGAATTGTTAAACTGCTTTAGAAAAAAAAAAAAAAAAGCTGATAAAAGAAGCTCCAACGAAAAGCCATGGCTTTGGCCGAGCAATAACAAATTTGGGCTTTCCATATTTTTCACCAACTATTGCTTATACCTGGCTCCGTGTAGTCCACCTTATCACACTTGGAATCTGCTGCTCACCACTGTTAGCGAGATTATGTAATCATGAATGAGTATATCAGTGTTCCATGGATATAAGAGTGGGTTCTATGTATATGGAATGATTGGTTATGTAGCCATCTACACACGAGATCAGATTTGATCATTGCGGAATTATTCTCGGTCATTTGCAGCCGTGCATTAGGAACATCTTCATATTTATATGTTTTTATTCATATGGAGATATTTCTGATGCACGGCTGCAAGGGAGGACCAAATCCAATTTCCTTATACACAGTGGTTAAAGCAGCAGATCCATAGCCACCTTGAAAAGCCAAAAATTGCCCTTGTGAATGCCTTTCCTACTCACTCTCTACCTGTCACGAATTGCATTCATACATCTCTTAATTCATAATAGAGATGTGTGACTCCAATTCACGACGACGGGTAGAGAATGGATAGAAAAAGCGAGTAGGAAATTCCGAGTGTCCCAAAAGGGCAATGACCTGTTTGGATTTTGAAAGGGCTAAGCCTTGGTTGAATTGCTTTCACAGTTTCAGAGCTGCTATGCAGAAGTCAGCACTCAAGAGAGCTTTAATGGAAAGCTAATTTTCTAAACATTGTTTAGGGGTGTTTATTTAGTCGGTTCGGAAATAAAAACCTAACCAACGTTTTGGTTAGGTCATTTATCTTCATGAATCGAACTAAATTAGGCTTGAAAATTTGATTAATTTAGTTAGTTAAAATATAAATGTATTTTATATTTATATTAATGTTAATATTAATATGAGTATTTATAATTAAAAATTAAAATGTAAATATATGTATTTATTTTGATTAATTCAGTTTTCGATTTGATTTAGTTGAATTTTATTTCACAAACCGAACTAAACACTAAAAAACGAATTTTTTAAAATTTTAAAATCAAACTGAACCAAAAACTAAAATAACCAAACCCAATTGATTTATTTGAATCAATTCGATTTCGATTTGGTTTTTGATTTGATAACCGAATTTGAACACCTGGTAAGGAAAGCCGTCCCAAATGGTCTGGGTTAGGACTTGGGATTGGAAGCCTCAGGCAAAGCACGGGACACGGCCGATGGCATTTCTTTGTGACATTAGTATGGAATATTGGTATATCTTATGCCTAACATGGTCTCAATTCGAACCAATCCGGTCTAACCCGGGTGGATGGGTTGACCACTAAGTACGCCGTGATTACGTATTACGTAACGTAATAAATTCAGAATTGAAAGCCCATAAGAATAATTTTCAGATAACCAACGGCCTCGTGTAATTCAGGGGCCCCGCCAGCTGCCACGAGGAACACGAAGAAATCTTTGTTTTCTCCTCCGTCGAAGCTTTGCTTTGCGTTGTTTCTACGGTTTTTTCTTTCTCCCGCCTTTTCTGAGCGTTGGTAGTGAGTTTTTTTCTGAGAGTTGTCAGTGAGTGCTCTTCTATGGCGGATTCTAGGGTTCTGTTCTTCGACGTTCTTCGGTCAAATGGTTCTTTAATTGGAGAATGGAAACACACGAAATTTAAATTGACGTTGGATCTGTTTGGTAGGAAGTTGCAGTAGTTGTTGTTGATGATGTGATTCTTTGCCTGTTTTCTTCATACTGAAAGGTTAGTTTTTTCTTTCTTTAATTTAATTTTCTTATGTAAATCTATCTTTCCTTTCACTCTTCTGTCATCCATACCTACTTCTTAGCTTGAGTTTCAATTCAGACCCTGGCGTCGTAATTGATTGGCGAAGAACTAAAATATACCAAGAAAAATGTCCGTATTGTCTATTGAGTTTGGTGAGTTGGTTTGGATTTCCAAACTTATGTTCTATATCTAGATGTTGAACACAACAGAAATGATGATTCAATTAATTTGTAATGTAAGCAGATGTTACGTAGTTCTCCAAATTTATTGTAGTTTATGCTTTTGCTTAATCTTGAGGATTCTAATTGGAGTCGGCAGCTGTTGGAGTTTGGTTCTTACGAGTAGTAGTGAAAAGACCACTGGTAATGCATAGGTGATGATAGTTTTACTGTTTTAGTAGTGGAGAGCCCCCGTAAGGTATAGTTCCTTGTGATCGGAATTGTATAAGGTGTTATTTGTTTTAATGGGAAAGAAAGGGTCTCCACGAAGCCCACGTCCTCCATCTATGCATGTAAAGCCATCTTTTGGGATGAAAAACCACCAGGATAAGTGCTTGGAAAATCTACTGGGCAGTGATCCTTCTTTTGGGAGGAGAGCATCAGGGGGAGACCACTCATGGAACAAGGATATGCTGCTTAATGGGTTGAAGGATGATGATAAAAGAATTGGTGGTTCTGTGGTCACATTTAGTGGAAAAAGGCAGATGTGGCTTGGTAAGCATTCGAGGCTGATGGTGTTTGCCTTTGGGTTGATGGGTTCCCTTTTCTTGCTCGATTCCCTTATGTTCTCCATTATTCATTCCATAAATCTCAAGAACAGTTCTCACCAGAGAGAACCAAATGGGTTGAAGGTATGGCTTTGCATTTTATTGCATTAGATTACTTGGAGAACCAATTTCTATCCAATGCGGAATCGACTGTCCAATGGCCCTGTCTTGGCGAAGTTTTATCAGAGGAGTTAGTTTTGGATTTTAATTCATTGGAATTTGATATTTCTTTCAAAATTGCAGCTACAACAATATAGGTTGTCCTGCCCATCTTCCTATGATTGCTATTTTATCTTATCGTCTTGTTCTCATTTCTTTTACATTGGTAGTTATTGTGAATTTCCATTCTTTCAGATTTCCTCCATATAGTCCTGCATATAAGTCAATTCTACTTACCAAAATTTAGAACTCAATTTCAGTGGTACCAAAATTTCTTTTTTTTTTTCTTTTTTTAAATTGTTTTGGTTTTTTCTTGGATATACTGGCCACTCGACCCCTTCTGCTGCTGTAAAGTCTCACAGTCTAGATCACACTAACAGATTTTTGCTACATCTCTACATTTAATCTTCAAATTTTATCACTAGCTTTCGTTAGGATTGCATTCAGTAAATTAGTATATATGACCAAAGAAGTATATTACTTGTCAATCATTTTTCAAAATATAGGAGAACTACTTACTGTTTTACAGGGGTTGAGGCTGAGTAGACCTCTCAATTTTAGTAATATGGTGGTGAAAGGGGACTCTCAGGTAGTTGTGGAAGTTAAACAGCAACTGGAAAGGAAATGGAAACTAGATTCAGATGAGTTCAAAATTCAGATAACAGTTTGGCTAACATAATGGCTAAGGGGTGGATAGGGATCATCTATTCTAGGGGTTTATCTTGTAATGATTATTGGTAACTGAGAAAAAAAGGGGGGTTAGGTGGCAGATGCTAGCCTAACAAAAAAGTGGACGCTTTCACTGTGATGTACATATATCATTATTTATTTCATAACTAATAAATCTTGACAGTTAACAATAAAAAAAGATTTGTGAAAAGTTTCCTCTTTTTTTTTTTCCGTCTTGGGCTACTCAAATTTTAACTAGTTATTTGACTGTTCAATATTCAGATTGGCTCTTTTAAATACTACATAATTAAATATAGTTATACAATGAAGAGATGTGTTTGAATTAATTGGACAAATATGCCACCAACAACTGTAGAGTCAATTAGTCCATGAATAGGCATTTTGGACTACATAATTAAATATAGTTATAATGTAGAGTCAATTAGTCCATGTACATATCTTATAATGTATGTAGGTAGGGATGTCAACGGGTCGGGTTCGGCACGGGTTTGCCTCAACCCTAACCCAGCCCGACTTAAAAAATGCACAATTCCCAAACCCGACCCAACCCTATAGGGTCTAACCCGATACGAACTCGACCAGACCTGTAACATTTCAATTGTATGCTTTAAACACGCTTTGAAGACATAAAATCCATTAATTCATGTTAGGAAATTGTTTTATAGATTCTAAGGTGTCACTTTTCCCATTTAAAAAAAGAAGAAAACCAAAATCAAAATGTAAAAAAATCTTAACCTTGAAGGCTATAGAGTTAGAAGTCAAAAAATTAAAAGAATACTTGTGCATGGTATCATGACCCATCGGGGTGAGTCAGCCAAAACCTGAACCCAACCCGGGTTGAAGAAGCTAAACCCTAACCCGGCCCTAAATCGAATGTACTTGACCCTAACCCGACCCTATAGGGTCAAGTTAAGCTGGGTTTACCATTTAACCTGACCCATTGACATCCCTATATGTAGGCATGCATAACTACCAAAGGCTTCATGTTAATTATAAGCCATTAAACCAAAACGTGATGAAACTACTGCTTGCAGTTGATCTTAGAAATAATGACAAGATTTTCAAATAACCTCTGTGGTTTAAAGGAAAATACAGATAGAAAAGGATTAAGGTCACTAACTTTATCTCTATGTAATAATAAAAATAGCTCTATATAAAATTCTTTTGATCGAAAATGGGATACAGTTAGTTATTTGCTTCAACTAAGATGTTTATATCTATACTTTCTGCCTAGTTGGTCACCAAAGCAATGGAACTCCAAAACATATAAGTGATTGCCCAGTCAATGCCTAGGTGATGCTTCACCTAGGCATTAGGAACAATAAAGTAATAATTGAACTATTTTTTCCCTCTAATTTTTCTTCAGTAATTCATGGAAAAGTGAGGTGAGAGGATTTCTATTGAACAAAACAATACATGCCTTCCAACTTAGCGAGAAAAACAGCAATTTAATATTAGATTTGTGCACGAAACCTTAGAAATGGTTCCCATCCATTATAAATCAAACAATGAGGCTTAAATAATAACATTATCTCTTAAATGTAATCTTTGTTTTTCTTGAAAATAAGCTCATGATTATCAATGTAAGAAATCATGAATTTTATATTTTTATGTCCTGTGATTTCTTAAACCATGTCATTACCTCAATCAACATATTTTTCATCTATCTTTTTTTCCCCTTTAGATCCTTGTACTTTAACAAAATTACCACCCACTAATGTCATATCCATTTTCCCTTACTGGACTTGCCATCTCAACATCCTTATTTGGTTATATTCATTTGATTACATCTTGTTTCATGATTATTTAAAATTTGGTGTATAAAATATGGTTGTGCATGTTTATGTTTAATTTGGTCTATACTGTCTGTAGTGCCTATACATTCTTTAGTCATTAACATGGACTATCTACTGTATTATAAGTTTGCACTATAGTTCATCTTATTATGCTAGGAGTTGGGGAATGCTCACAACCACTGTATAATTACTTGGACTTTTGTTTTTTGCATGTATTCTTGAAGGATGTGCAGATGGATTATGTCCATGAAAAAAAGGGACCAACAATTATGTATGATCGGCTTCTAAATCTGGCTTCTAGTGCTCTTGCAGAGGTTTGCCATACAAAAATCATATAATGAATCTCCTTCATGTGCAATCTGTTTAAGCTTGTTTAAATACATAATTGTTTAGTATGATATTTGCTACCTTTTCTCCTTTTCTCCCCTGTTGTTATTTTTATGTGAACAGTTTTAAGTTAATAATTGATGTGTTAGTGGTTATGGGTTTTGAAAGAGGTTTCTTTTGTTAATTATTGATTCAGTATCTGTTGCTTTGATTATGCAACAGAAAGAATTCAGAGGTGACTCAGTAAAACTCTGGGAGGAGCCACATAAACAGGCATCTCAATGGAAACCTTGTGCTGATAAAACTGGTCCATTATACCAAGGTATTCTTGTTGGTTTCTTTTGAGGTATTCGTGTCAGTTTGTTTGACTTCTCTTAGTATTAATAATTATTAGCTACTTGATAAAACATGATATTGTGACCCAATTTGTAATTATCTTGTTGATTTATTTAGTCTTTGATAACCTTCTCTCTCTCTCTCTCTCTCTTGATTGTTTATGGTAAATTCCAGTTTTGTGTTGATTAGTTCTAAGTTCTAGCTTGTTTCTGTTTTTGGTGCAGGAAAGCTCACAAAAAGCAGTGGCTTTATATTGGTTAGTGCAAATGGCGGTCTCAATCAACAACGAGTTGCTGTGAGGCCCTAAATTCTTTAATGACCTTTATATCATTGTTGGGTAATAGAAAACTTTTTATTATTCTTCTTTTTTGGTTGGTAAGATTAGAGATAAATGCTAGCTTTGACAAGATTTTGCTTAGATGATATACTGTCCATTTCCTTTTTACCTGTTTTTTTTTTTTTTTCTCATTGAGATCAAGTAGTGAAACTTATCTTCTCGTAGTTTATTGTCTTAATGCAACAGCTGCCAGTTTATAATAAGCTAAAAATTGTTAGCCATCTCATCCAATATAAGCTAACAAGGTGATTAAATGATTTTAATAGTGTCGAACTTTGACGGGTATCTAAGATATCAAGTACCTGTAGATAGCATTAGAAAAAGAAGCTTGGAAAGTTTATTATGGAGATGTAAGACATATATATCTCCATCTCGAGCTCAAAAGTTTGTCACATTATTTATTATTGCTAAAAAGTTTTTACATTGATCGTAGGGATTTTTATTTTAGAAAAGTTTATCCAAAGAATTGATCCGTTAAAAATGTCATAAGAGTTTATGCTTTGGAATCTTTATCCATTTGGATATGATATTGAACTCCATTAGAATGGACAATAGGACTATATATAAGGCCTATAATATAATTATAAAAGAGCATTATGAACAAATTGCATTTGACCTTTTTAGTTCTTTTGAGAACTTTTAGTAATCTTGAATTATAGCTTTGTTTGATAAGGATAAGAAGAATGATATTTTATTGTTATAATGCTTGGATTTTATCCTTGTAGAAGGTTTTCCATTTGTTTTTCTCCAAGAAACACTGGTTTAAACAGTGACATGGAGTGGTTTTTAAATCATTTTGTAGCTACATGGATAACGGTGAATTTTCTGCTGTAATTACTTTTCTGGTAAAAGGGAAGGTCTTTGTTCTATAGACTCTAGCAAGGAACACTGGCTAGCCTAGTAGTAAGTCATTGGCAGTAGAATCCAAGACCTAGGATTGAATCCTGCCTTCATCAGTCATAACTACTTAGAAGTTAGAACTGACATTGAACCCCCTCCTATGCCCTCGCAAAGAAGGGTATTAAGGAATAGAGGGAAATATTAGGGTTGAATTAAGGGAAATATTAGAACTTGTTTTGGAGGAAGCATCTAATATGCATCTGTTGACTCTATAAGCTATTCAGTTTTATCTCTCATTAAATGAACATACTTATCTGGTGAATTATCCATGCTTGCAGATTTGCAATGCGGTTGCTGTAGCATCATTACTTAATGCAACTTTAGTTCTTCCCAAGTTTCTTTACAGCAATGTGTGGAATGATCCAAGGTCTGAAATTAAATTTGATATCATATTCAATGTATTAGTTTGATCTCTATATGTTATGGTGTTTAAATAATAATGCTATTGTTATTGGCTTGACATAGCTAAAGGCAGCCATTGATTATGAACATTGCACCCACCAGGTTTTCTTCATTTCTTTTGAGTACAGCAATTTTCATGTGATTGACATCCCCACAAGTTCTGTTCAATGTGATAAATTCTGGGTGGTCCCATTGCAAATCTACTTTTTGTCATTGTCATTTCCCTTTTGATCATTCCTTTAAGTTAATCAAGTCAATGCTATCATGACAATATGAAGGGAGGAACAGAAATAGCAAAAAGTGGAGAGGCAATAGCATTCCCTAAATTTTAAGTGGAGGATTTCCCTTCCATCTATGTACCAAACTATTGCACTTCATGTATTGATTTTATAATTCTAGAAAAGTGTGGGCTTTCTTTGGATCCTAGTTTGGTGTAATATGGTTATCTTCCATTTCTCTTTCATTTTTGTCACACCTCTGGCAAAATGCAACTCATATTTGTATTGTATTTTCACCATCCATATTAGATTTCTCTTACTCTTCCATAGCCAATTCATGTTTGGTTCTTTTTTTTATTTATTTTTTGATAGGAAACAGTAATTTTCATTGATAACAATAGTTCAAGATTACAGCTTTCACCATCCATAGGCCAGAAGGAAATCCCTTAGACAAAGTCAGTCTTACAAACAAATCCAAAACAACTCCTGCCTAATTACTCCTTGTTTAGCCAGAGCATCAGCCATTCCATTTGCTGACCTTCTTGCCCATCTAAAGTGCACCCCGAGCTCCCTTGCTAAGATCAAGATTTCTCTTAGCTGTTGTCTGCACCCAAACTCCTGTCAATTTATGTTTGATTCTCTCAGCCACTGGGTGCCCCATCCTTGCCTCAATGGAGCAATCAGGAACCCATGCATTTTATACCATGCACATTTATAGTAGCTAGTTATAGGTAGGACCTTAAAAAACTAATATGAAATCTTTTGAAACCATCTTAATAGCATAAATCATTAAAGAAGAAACAAAATGAAATCAGTGTAACAGGTTTTTTCGTTTGTTACAAGTACTGTACTGCAAGACTACTACATGTGATAAAGAGTAGAAATAATGCCAATTAGATTGTCCATCAAAAGTAATTGACAGGCTGTAGTTTTCTATCCAGCAAGGAACATTACAGCAACTTTTTGGGTCCCTCCTGCAAATTTTATCAAGCTATATTTTGATGGCTGGAGTTTAACGAAGCTAGAAATGTCATGAACTGGATGAATGCTATGAGATTATGAAGGAAAACTGATAGCATTGTTTTCTGGACCTGTTGGCATTGGAGAATCAACTAGACCAGAACTACTAGCAGTTAGACAAGGCCTAAAATAAGTCAATTCCTTAAGTCTTATAGATCTAATGGTGGAAGGGGATTCAAAAGTGACTATGGTTTGGCTAACAAAAAAGAAAATAAAAACATGCTTGTGGATGTGTAGACATGTTTTGAGGGAGATTGAGGAATGGGTTGATGAACATAAGCTACATACAGTCTAAAAGATGGTCCCAAGTAGACCTGTTCATGGGCCGGGCCGGGCTCGGGCCGGGCTTTCACTCTGTATTAACAGTTTTTTCTAAGGCCCGAGCCCGGCCCTCATAAAAAACCCGAAGCCTGGGCCTGGGCCCGAGCCCGAAATTTAGCCCATGCTGTTACTACTGCCGAAGCGGCTGAATAGAGAGAGAAATTATAAAGAAAAAAATAAAAAATGTATATATTAAATTATAAATATATATATTTCAATAAATATTATATTATTTATATATTTTATATAATATATAAAATACACATTATGTATTTTATAAAATATATAATGCTGAATCGGGCTGGGCCGGGCTCGGGCTGGGCTTTCTTGACAAATCCCGAGCCCGGCCCGAAACACAGTTGGTCTAGTCCGCGGGCCTAATTACATGACCAAGCTCGACCGGGGTGCGGGCCGGGCCGGGCCGGGCCATCGGGCTACCTGGCCCATGAACAGGTCTAGTCCCAAGGTGAGCCAATTTCTTGGCTGATGGCCCACTGAACAGGGACAAATAAGAAATGGTTGTATTGGGGTTTAACCCTGAGGTCAGGGGCTTGTAAAAAGTGTACAGTGGGGGATAGTAAGGAATAGCTGCACTTTTGGGGTTCTTAGCAGACTACTGTACATCATTTTTTTTATAATTACTACTGTACATCATTTTCATACTTAATAAAATCTTGAACTGTCATCGATAAAACAAATTAGATTATCCACTAAATGATTTTGCGCATTCCTTGTTCCATGATCAAGAAATATGCAATGCCAAACATGATATTAGATGCACAAGGGCTTAATGGTGTCTCAAGCATTTTTTGTTTCATGATTGATCAAAAGGATGTAATAGCTTCCAAGCACAACATTAGCACATATGCTTGATGTTGTCATCTTGGTGTGTCTGCAAAAAAAAATTGCTACACCATGTTTTTTATGCACATCCATTTTCACATTCAAATGTTATTTCTTTTGGTATACTTATAGTTACTGGATGGATGTAGTCAGTTTGGAGATATCTATCAAGAGGAATATTTCATGGATCTTTTGAAGGATGAAGTGAATATTGTAAAGGAATTACCTCCTCATCTTCAATCATTGGACTTTGAGGCAATTGGCAGTCTAGTATGTTTATTTTCTGGTTAATATTTTGCTTCATTTTCTTAAAAAAGCATGCTTTTAAGATTTCATGTTGATCTCTTATCTTTCTGCTCAGATTACAGATGCTGATATTGTAAAGGAGGCAAAACCCATTGATTTTGTTAAGATTGTATATCCTCTACTGCTGCGAAATGGAGTTGTTCACTTCCTTGGATTTGGCAATCGACTTGGATTTGATCCATTGCCTTTTCACCTTCAAGTTAAGGACGCACTTAGTGCTTTAAATACGGCATTATTAAAACTCTGTGGAAGCTCAGCATGCATATTATTTTAATTTATTAAAATTTTCTCTTATTGTTGAAGTTTTCTGAAATCATCTGAAAGATTCTGCTGAGTACAACTAATAAAAATTGGACAACATTTGCCATGCTTTCTCTTAAAAATAAGTCCAGATGTGAACTTACATGTGATGCCCCGGTATTTCTATTATGGTTGATGAGTGACCTCTTTACTTTTTGGAGCTCATCATTCTATCTTTTAGGTGGTATAAAGACCATATGAGTTTCCTACTCTAGCTGAGTAATACTACAGTTCCTTATCTTTTGGGTGGTGTGGGGATGGGGGAGGAACTGAAAATTTTTCCCACATGAAAAAAGTGTCAAGTACTCTAGGCTGCAATATAGGGTAAATTGCCACTTATGAGTTTTCTGTTTTGTCTATGTCTTTTACAAAATGCCTCTAGCAAATCCTTTTGGTTTGAGTTACGATACCTCAAGTACATATGTATGTGTATATTATCCCCAAAAGAGCTTTTAGAAGTAAATGAGCAAGTTTAGTACAGCTTAATTCTTGATCACATATCTTTTGGCTTCCTAGGCTACACAATGGGGGGTAGCCCATCTCCCATACCTGGAGCCCCCTAACCCGGGTGAAGGTGGCAATTGATCCCAAGTCTCCATTACAACCAACCAAAGACCTTACCAACTGAGCCAGTTTGCACCTTCATTCTTGATGACACCTTGTCTTCTATCCATACTCCATTCTCCAAATTAATTTATTAATTTTCTTCAGCCTTCTTCTTTCTAATGGATATGGGTGGAATAAACTAATATTCTTGTCCATTTCTGCATTTAGGCAGAACATTTCTTTCTGAAGCAGAGATCATCCCTTTCTTTGTTCTTAAAGTTTATTTTTACTCTCCTCAAATCAAATAGCCTCCACTTACACTTTTTTTCTCAGCACCATTGAAGTTCTGAAATATCCAAAATCCCTATTCCAAATATTCCAAACATCTGTAGACTGTTTAAAAACGTAAGTAATACATGCTTTTACTATAGTATAGAAATAAAGTGAGTAGGACTATCCAGAAAGAAAGATAAGGACTTTTAAAAAACAAGGATCCACCATACTATAACTAGGGTCCCATTATAAAAGGTTATACATGAAATACAGAAAAGAATGTGCAATAAATGCAATCTACTAAGCACCAAGGTAATCTGCCTTAGACTCTTATAGAAAAAAAAGCCTGTCTCACAATCTTGTTTGATTGTCTCCTGATATCAATCCTATTATCCAGAAGAGGAGAAGAAGAGAAGGAAGAGAGAAGAGAGAAAAAAGACTTGAGAGCCAAAAGTTAAGCTGGCGGTGCCAGCTTTTGGTATTTATGTTAGGGTGACATAAACAAATAAAAGAAAGGGAGAAATTACAATAATACCCCTGTGGTACTAATCTGAGTATACTAACGGGCTTTTAACACTCCCCCGCAAGTGATGTAACCCCTTCGTGAAGATGTCTACAAGTTGGTCTTCAGATTGACATAGGGGGTACACACTTCCCCTTTGACAACCTTTTCTCTGATAAAATGTTTGTTGACTTTGATGTGTTTAGTTCTATCATGCAGCACTGGATTAGCAGCAATGTTTATGGCTGCTTTGTTATCACAATATAAGGTCATAGGTCCATCACTATAAATCCCAACTCACTCAACAAATTTTTTAGCCACATAATTTCAGCCACACCATGAGACATTGCTCTATATTTAGCTTCAGCACTGGACCTAGCCACCCCATTCTGCTTTTGCTTCTCCATGTGGTGAGGTTCCCTCTTACAAAAATACAGTAGCCGCTTGTAGATTTCCTATCACTTAGGGATCCTGCCTAATTTGCACCGGTATACACTTCAACCTTTAAATGCTCGTGCTTTTGGAACAATAAACTGCACCTGGAAATTTCTTAAGATATCTGAGGATTCTTTCAGCTGTTTCAAGATGGGTGGTCTTAGGGGCATGCATGAATTGACTAAGAACACCCACTGCATAAGCAATGTCTGGTTGAGTCATAGATAGATATAGAATTCTTCCTACAAGCTTCTGAAATTGTTTCACATCCTTGATGAATTTACCTTGACAATCACCTAATTTGTGATTAGGATCAATAGGAGAATCAATAGGTTTCACTCCCAATTTTCCTATATCTTGGAGTAGATCTAAGACATACTTTCTCTAGGAAATGAAGATACCCTTTTGTGAGCGAGCAACTTCAATTCCAAGGAAGTACCTTAAAGGGCCTAGATCTTTCACCTCAAACTGAGTAGCAAGAAATCCCTTCAACTTTTGAATTTCATCTTTCCAATCACCAGTGATAACTATATCATCAACATACACTGTTAGGGTTGCAATTTTTCCTTCCCCTCTTTTCACAAACAATGTGTGATCAGATTGACACTGCTTGTAACCTCTTTGTTGAACAACTACATGAAACCTGCTGAACCAGGCTCTTGGTGATTGTTTCAGGCCATATAATGGCTTTTTTAACCTACACACTTTTTGTTCATCACCTTGATCCCGGAAACCAGGGGGTTGTACCATGTACACTTCTTCAAGATCACCATTTAGAAATGCATTCTTGATATCTAGTTGATGAAGGTCCCAATCAAGATTAGTGGCTAAAGAGAAAAGGACTCTAATGGAATTCATCTTAGCAACTGGTGCAAGTGTTTCTGTATAATCTATTCCATTCACTTGTGTAAACCCTTTTGCCACTAAACGATCTTTATACTGCTCCACTGTGCCATGAGCCCTATGTTTTACTGTAAAAACCCATTTACATCCAATTGGTTCCTTTCCCTCAGGAAGATCCACCAATTCCCATGTACCATTTTTATGCAAAGCATTAATTTCTTCCTTCATTGTATTTATCCATTTAGGCACCAACAAAGCTTTTGCCACATTCTTAGGAATAGGAACACTGTCAATGGAAGAAAGAAAGGCCCAAAAGGAAGGTAAAATGTTCTCATAGGAAACAAAATGGGATGTTTGGTGGTACAAGACCTAATGCCCTTCTGGTGAGCAATAGGAAGGTCAAGGTCATTAGCAATGAAGGCACCAATAGCAATAGGGTTAGAAACATCAATGGGAAACAGGGTACTTGGTTAGATAGGATCCACCCCCGGAGAATTTGATGGCATTGGTGGTACAACTTCTAGGTGCTCCATAGCTCTTGAACATGGTTGGCCTTTGTGGTGACGAAAGTAAACATGGAAGGGAGGAGGATTAGGAAGAGGAGGGAGCTGAATCTGTTTCTCCTCATGATACCATATTGTCCAGAAGAGAAGGAAGAGGCAAGAGAGAAGAGAGAAAAAAGATTTAAGAGCCAAAAGTTAAAGCTGGCAGCGCCAGCTTTTGGTGTTTATATTAGGGCGACATAAACAAATAAAAAGAAAGGGAGAAGTTACAATAGTACCCATGTGGTACTAATCTGAGTATAATAACCGACTTTTAACAAATCCAATGCATGTCTTTGAACTATTTTAATACCAATGTCCAGTCCAACATGAGCAAACAAATGTCCTGGCAATACTGAGGACCAGGCTTGACTTGTTTTTAGAAATTCTTTTGTTCCTCTCCTTTCAAATACATCAAAAAACTGCAAAGGGTAATCCTCCATGGTTTTGTGTCTTTTCTTCATAACTATTATTTGATGAATTTTGAATTGTGAGAAAACTACATTAACATTTCTGTCATCTTTGAAGAAGTTAAATAGGAAGGCTTCGTGAATATCCTTTGAAAACCAGCATATCGATGAACAAATTGTTGCAATCTTTTCTCATGCCCACACAAGATTCATTTATTTTCCAATTTGGAAAATTGCCTCTTGAATTTTTTACCATTGGAACCTTTTCCTAGTTCTACCAACCATTGGAGGGCTTGCATTCCTGGAGGGATTGGTGATCCCCAAATCCCATCATATGCTTCATGGGACACGGCCTGTCCCTTTTCCAGCTTGTTGTAAAAAGACTTCCTGTGAACAGCCCATCTGGTTTTTCTTTCCAAGTGTTCTGGTCTTCAATGGATGAGCCTATTAAGGGCTCATAGCAAATCTAATACAATCAACCTCCCTTGGGAGCAATGGCCCTTGGGAACTTTGACTTGAAACACCACTTCCCCACCTTTTACTTCAAAGCAAGGTCCTTTTACTTTGGAAGAAAAAACACGGAGACAAATCAAAACAGACATTAATATTTGGATGGTTTTGCATCAGAAGTAGAAATATTTTCAATTGAATGCAAGAAATATTCATGATACGAATTTAGCACACTTGATTGACTAAACATCTTAGTGGTAAAAACTGCTGATTCAGTCCAAATTGATAGGACACCCCCACCCTCATTTGTGCAGTTACTCCATGGTGTATATGTTCTAAAGCCAGAGATACAGTTTGAATATCTCAAGGTTCAAAATATCGATACAATACGCCTTGTCTCGGGTGTATTGTATTATATCTTTTGATTCCTGAAACGCCTGTTTTAGTTTTGAAACAAAACTAAAAAAACATAAAAGCGCAAGGTTTTAAGTACCGATACACCTCTGCTGATAGGTGTATTGATACTTTGAACCTTGTCATAGCTACTAGCCCCATCATTATATTAGCTTGATTCATGACACTAAAAGCTCTGCTAGACACCATGAATTGTTCAATTCAACCATAACAGAGTGAAATCCAATTAATAAGACTGCAAAATGGGCCCTCTGAACAAATTTTTCAGTCACACTAAATCCAAACATAGCAAAAATTAACAGAGTAAGATTAAAATTTGATGGGAGCTTCATGGGAAGATCAGGTTTGGCAAGTATTGGAGGTGTCTTTAAAGATAGTGCAGGCAGGGTGTTCGCCATGTTTTCGGGACCCTTAGGATTGGGAGACTCATTAAAGGCTGAACTGATGGCGTTGCTGCAAGGTTTAAGACTTGCAAAGCAATCAATTTCCAACACTTGTAGGTAGGAGACTCAAAACTGGTTGTTTCTTGGGCCAGGAGTAAACATCAAATGCCATGGACCTATAGGCTAGCTTTTAGGGAAATAGAGAGCCTGTCACAGGAGATGAATGTTAACTATCAGTTGGGTAAGGACTGCAAATGGGATAGCTGATATTTTAGCAAAACAAGGGGTCTATAGTATAGACAGCAGTTGTTTTGGGCACGACTGTAATCTTGTTTTGGAAAAACTAGACAGCAGTTGTTATTGGGCACTACTGTAGCATTGATAGAGGTTGGCTAATGTGTTATTGGGTGTCTGAAACCAACCTGTTGTACCATTCAATTTTTCACCAATTAATATAGTTAAGATTTCTTTTGCTGATAAAAAAGAGTCAAAAACATCTGTTGCTTCAACTTTCTGAAAATGGAGTGTTATCTACTCTAGTATTTCAAAACAACCATTAAAAATTACATAAGCAACCTTCTTTTCAGGTCACCAAATAGGCCTTTTTTGTTTTGAAGATGATTATTGTCTCTCTCCATCTTGTACTGATGGGCATAAAACCCTTGTCACTATCATAGAAGTACTCAAGTTCTCCAATCTAGTCTTCTGTTTAACACCATCTAATCTCTGATTCAGAGTTTTATAGGATTTTAATTGCAATGCCTTAGATGCAATATATCCGCATGTCTGTTAGATTCAAAACAAATCCTGGACCTTATTTACTGGTACTGCATTTGAGGTAAGAGCTGTTTTTGACACCACCACCTTGGATTGCTGATGGATTAGCCAAACAAGGTGTGATTTTTGGGGATAACAAAGGATCAAAATGTTGTTTAAGCTAGCTTGTAAAAAGAAAGGACAAAATCGGAAGAGAATGAACTGTTTTTGTCATGCATATACATAACAATTATGAGGTCTAATGCCCTAAATGATATGATTTCTAAATTTGCTTTTATTGTCTTGATCTTTATCTGAATGTCTTTCTTTCCCTATTTTAATCAAGATTAGAGATCAAGATACGAATATGACTTCACTTCTATGCAATGCCTTATCCTCTACTGACATATTCTTCAATCTATTTCAGAGATTAAGATGCAAATGCAACTTCCATGCTTTAAAGTTTGTGCCCAAAATTCAGGAAATTGGTTCATTATTGGTTAAAAGGATAAGGAAACATGATGGTGCACGGAGTCTTTTAGATAAGCAGCTGCTTGGAAACTATATTTCTGATCTTCCTCCTGAAGGACATTATGCTTCAACAGGGTCATCCAAATATCTTGCCTTGCACATGAGATTTGAAATGGATATGGTGGCCTATTCGGTATGTGATTTTGGAGGAGGAGAAACTGAAAAGAAGGAACTCCAGGCCTATAGGGAGAGTCACTTTCCTTTGTTGGTTGAGCGTTTGAAAAACTCTAGGTATGTTAATTATCTTTTTCCTTTTTACCCTGCAAATGATGATTTATTTAATGAAGTTTTAATAGTCATTTCTTAAAATGTATCCCATTCCCTTTGATTGACAATTGTAGCAGATCTGTTTCTCCAGAAGAGTTAAGGAAGTTGGGTAAATGTCCATTGACACCGGAAGAAGCAGCACTTATGCTCTCTGCCCTTGGTTTCAAACGTAGCACATACATCTATCTTGCTGGGTCTAATATATATGGGGGTCAATCCAGGATGCATCCCTTCACTAGCCTTTACCCCAATTTAGTTACAAAGGAAGATTTCCTCACACCAAGTGAACTTGCACCATTAAGGAATTTCTCTTCTCAGGTAACCTGACCTTCCTTTTTCATTCATACAAATCTTACAGTTATAGAACTATAATATATATTTTCAACAGTTTTCAAATAAATTACCTTCATGGTGATGGTTATTGTTGTTATGGGGCTATATTTAAGATGGAACTGGTTGTGCATGAATTGAACACTTTCATGACCTATGCACACCAATTTCAGAAGAGAAAGCATCTATCAATCAAGAGGGATACATTCATCTGATGATAATGGGCATCTGGTTAATGGGTGCAATGGTCCCTGGTTTGGACCTTCTTTGATGACATAGCTAGATAGGTGTTTAGAAAAAATTTCCTAACAAGTGCTTTGTGATTGGTGAAATGCATTTCTATAAAGAAAAGGAATAAAAAAGAAAAAGTGGAATTGTGGGCAGACCATCTTCTGTAGAAACTGAATATGATTGCTGTCAAAGTTAGTCATCAATTTGGCAATTGGGGCAGAAAGCAAGCAACTTTACAAACAAAATAGTGATTCTACTTAAGTGGCAGAGTTGTTCATCTATGCTTCACACTACACAGTAGAAAATGTTCAAATGATTGACACTTGATGCGTTAATTCTGAGAAAAGTGTATTATAATATTTGAGAAGTAACCTGGTTCAGAATTTCTATGCTGCAAGTTGGTTTGTTATCCATGTAGACTGGGGGTCTGATGATCTGGCTTTTATTCTCGTTTTTGAACTTTCTGTGACATTCTGGTAAACTTAAATCCTTGGCCATATCTAATAGTGCTTTCATCTTTCATCACTATTGACATCATCATTAGTCCTTTTTCCTGGCCATATGTTATCAGCTAAAGGAATCCTGCATCCACATCATATCCTTTGGTTCCTGGTCTAAGTTGCACAAATCTGAGCTCCAACATAAGTGCGTCATATCCTTTATTTTTCCTTTTTTGATAGGTATATAGGATTTTATATCACCAGCAATTATATAAGATTTACAAACAACCCATGGGAATGAGGCATATCTCCTCCCCTTTAGTTTAAATTTGTTTTACAACTGAGCCCAAAACAATTGATTCCTAACTGCCCCTTTCTTTGTTAATGCACCAGCCATTGCATTAGTGGACATTTATAACCAGCAATTATACAAGATTTACAAACAATCCTTGGGAATGAGGCATATCTCCTCCCCTTTAGTTTAAATTCGTTTTTACAACTGAGCCCAAAACAATTGATCCCTAACTGCCCCTTTCTTTGTTAATGCACCGGCCATTGCATTAGTGGACATTTGCACCCATTTGATTTTCACTTTACAGTTCCTAGTTAGCCATTTAATCTTCTTGAGTACATGCCTATAGGACCATAATGCTTTCTCACTATTCAGCAGCCAGCCAATTACAACCTCTGAATCCCCTTCCGTGAGTAGCTTGCTCAACTTCATCTCACTTGCACACTGTACTCCTCTTCTCTTATATCCTTTATTTTTCCATTCTTATTTTTTCTTTTCATTATCATTTTTTTGATGAATAGTTTTTCTTTTCATTATCTTATAGAGCCTTTTCCCTACACTTTGGAACATAGCTTATAAATATCTACATAGAAAAAAAACATTACAGTTTTCCGATGTACTGGCACTACTGCGGAACATAAATTGCTTATAAATATCTACATAGAAAAAAAAAACATTACAGTTTTCTGATGTACTGGCACTACTGCATTTGACATCTGACTGATAATCCTGTAAGTACTTAGTGTAGATGGTCAATCATGTAAGATCCTAGCAATACTAAACATGAATCTTGTCACTAAAGAAACAATACTAAACACCACCTAGAATTTTCTTGGTGTAGAAACTTGTTTTGCATGATCACCATGTCGGTTTCCTTTTCCTCTTTGTTATCATATCATCAGATGGTTTCTATCACCTTGAATCCGGATGTTGAATCCTTTTCCCATTTCTTCAGATCAGATGTAGAATTTTATCGGTCACTGGTCACAATAGAAATGTGAAGAAAACAATAAAAATCAGAATATATATATATTTCAAGAGGAAAAAAATATAATAAGTTATAATTACCACTAACTGTATCTTCAACGCTTTTATTTTTCCTTTTACCAATAATGACAAAAGATTAAAAGGAAGAAATGTTGGAAAAAACTCATCCCTCAAAAAAGGTGGGGGATAGAACCACAACTTCCACAGTAGATTCTGCCTTTTAAGACTCATTTCTTGCTATGACTGTCCTGAAAATCAGGCTCTAGTGCCAACTCTTCAGGGTTAGAACCATTCACAATTTCTGAATTGAGAAATGTTAATGTGGTGGATGCAGCTGGCAGCACTGGACTTAATCGCCTGTGCAACTGCCGATGTGTTTGCAATGACAGATTCAGGAAGTCAGTTTTCATCCCTGGTATCTGGTTACCGGGTTTACTATGGTGGTGGCCACGCTCCAACAGTGAGGCCCAACAAGAAGCGTATAGCAGCAATTTTGTCTGAAAATGGCACAATAGAATGGGCTGCATTTCAAGATAGGGTGAGAAAGATGATTGATGAAGGTCAAAGGGTACGCATAAGGGGTTTTGGTAGAAGTATTTATCGACAGCCAAGGTGCCCAGAATGCATGTGCAAGGGTCATTAATAACAAGCCTCAATCCTCACCAAACATTTTCCTTTATTTGTGTCATCAGATCTCTCTTTTTTTTTTTATAAAATTTATTTTTTTTGGGCCGTGAATCAATAAGAAGCCCTCAGCCAGGCATATGGGTATGGGTATGCTAGGTAGTTCACAGTCTGACAGGAGTTTTGGTTGTTGCCTGACAGGAGATGGATGACTCCAGATGGAAACAAACATTTTTGTGGCTACTGATGCCATAGTCTTGGTACTGCATATGTTAGTACTGGGTCTATTTCATCAGTGCCATCTATTCTTTTGCTGTGTAAAGTTTTTTGTTCTAGCTTTTTAGTTGATTCATTAGCGCCAAGTTTTTATGCTTCCAGAGGATAGGGGAAAAGGGACAACTGAAAAATCTTGATCAATGGTGTCTCATTTATTACTGCATGATTGAGAAACACCCAAGTTATGAGAGAAAATAATTAGTTTTATTAGTTCAATTCACTCAAATAACCCCATTTGAATATACATAGAATTAGTGATGAAAAAAAGGGGAAAAAAGTGAAGCAGCAATGCCACTGGAGCAGAACATACAAAATCTCACAGATCTTTCACTAGGATTGTGATCATAGAGTAGAATTCTATGCAAATGACAAATTGCTTCCTCGTTTTCTTAATTAAAATGGCATCAAGTCATGCCGGAGGAAAGAAACGGTTGAGGTTGAAGGGGAGGGTGTAGAACTCCTCATTCCGACTGTCTCCTTTGAAAGTCCGGAACCTGGCCCACCATGGCATCCCTCTGTCTTTAGCCGTATCCTTGTAGTCGAGGGTGTTATCAAGGAAAACCGCAACGATTAGTGCCACAGTTGGGGAGGATGAGAACACGGTGTTTATGAAATCGTTGAACTGCAAACAGAAAACAGAATCCAGTGCATGAGTTTATATATTGTGTCACAGGCAATCCAAATGAACAACCAATTGACAGCAATTGTTGTGGGGAAGATTGTTGTATATGTGGTATTAAGATAAACGGGAGCACAATGTAATCCCTCAGAGAGAGAGTGAGAGAGAGAGAGAGAACGCACCCATGCAGCCTTGGTATGAGCAGGACCATGAAGGGAACTAGTGGTGTATTCACGGAAGTACTCAGGAATAGATAATCCTAAGAAGAAGGCAACGCCCGTGATGAAGAGATTCCGCATTGAGTTCATGTTTGTAAACTGCAAAAATGACAGCCCCACAGATGCTGCCACAGCAAATAATAGAATATTTGAGTTAGAAAACTAACGTTCAGTTCACATGTAAATAATAAAATACAGAGAGAGAGAGAGAGAGAGAGAGTACAAACCAACAACTCCAAATAAAACACAATAAACAGCTGCAAAGATGGTGAAAGGTATCGATGCAAATAGTGCTCCAAACTTCCCTGTTATTGTGCAATCAAGAGATCACTGGTTTATCTCTTCCATCATCATCATTCTTTAGCAAAATAAAGGAAAAAAAGAGATGATCTATACCCCACCTAAGATTGAGAAGAATATCATAAACCCAGCTGAGATTTGAATAACTCTGCGGCTCCCAACTCGAGTTACTCCAAGAAGACCCACATTTTCTCTGTATTTTATGTATAATTTCATTAAATACCCAGTGCAGCAGAGCTTGTTACGAGTTAGTAGACATAGGAGTAAATGCTACATTGCTACTTACACAGACACGGTGGAGCCGGTCCCTGTTCCAAAGAGTCCATCTAATAGGATCCCGATTCCCTGTTTCAGTCATGTTTGTAGGTCAGATGTTCATTCCAAGATTTCAGAGAAATTTAAGGAATAAATAAATTGAACTTCTCTTGTGCACACCTGCCAACCAATACCACGGCTAAGAACATGAGCTGGCGGAGGTGTGGCACTTGCCAGCCTAGATGCTGCCTTGTACCCTCCTGTTGACTGCCAAAAGAAACACGGATTCATGGTTAACATCATTTGGCCCTTCTCTACTCTGCTTGTTCCATCTCTATATGGCTGTGAGTTTTATATACCTCAATCAAGGAGACTAGAACTGCAGCCATCATTCCAAAAGCATGGCCAGCATTGAAAGTGGGTGCACCCCATTGCAGTGGGTATGGGATTTTGATCCTGCCATACATATTACAAGAAATAAAACAGGTGAGAACTTTTGTTTGTGTGTTCACTCTCTGTTCTGAAATCTGAATCAGTTTATCCTTGATACCAACCAGGGTGCAGAGGAGATGAGGTGGGCCCTGTCGGTTCTGCAGTTGAGTTGGGTCGTGTGAGGGCGATGCTTGTATGCACCACTCGCTGTCAAAAGGTGTGCGTATGCCCATATCAATGTGATCGACAATACGAGTGCGAAACGCTCCAATATTGGGATATGTTTTGCCTGAAATTGTTTTAGATACTGTGTGCAAGTGCAGCACAAGAGACACAGACAGAGATTGAGAGAGAGAAAGAGTCAGATTTTTGCTCCATTATTTCAACTACTGTGCAAACCGGTCAACATTTCAGCAAAAGTCCAAGAATTAATATATGGTGCCTGGCGGAGTCAAGTAATTTGAAATTTGTAAACTAATTCGGTGTGGGAAAAAATTAATAAATGGCTGGCCTAGAATGAGCCAGGGCTTACAGAACGATGGGGCCATGGTCCTAAACTAAACTACTGGTTGGGCAATCCCAAGTTCCCAACATCCTGGGCTGGCATATGGACAGAGAGACGACGTTCACTTGTCACTGGATGCACTGCAGGTGCAGGCTATGTGTCACTAATTGTAATAGTCCCCAGTGCCAAAACTGACAGTACGGCTGTGCTGCACCCACATATCGTATTTGATTAATCCCAGCTCAGGCCTCAGGGTAACACACCTTTGAGCTTTGACCGGCCACATGAGCTGCCAAAATGACTGATCCATAATGGTGGGTCACCACCTGTTTGATATAAACCACCGCCCAGGAAGATGTAGCAATAAAGACAATACTATTATACTTAAACAAGTAGCAACTGATTGCCAGGTTCACTGTGCTTTGCTTGCAGTTTTAGCCTCTTGTTAATGATTGAAGAGAGTGATCACTATTCACAACCCAACTCCCATAGCCCAAGATGATAACAAAAATAGCCATGCTAATTGCCAAGATAATATAATGCCACTTGCTAAGCACAAGCAGCCTAGCTAGACCCAACCAAAGCTACCCAGCTCTATGCTTCACTGTATCTAATGAAACTTGGAAAGGGTCCTTCCACCCGGAAGTCATCAATTACTGTTTTGGTCATTCTGGGATTTTCTCAGTCAGAAGACAGACATTGTTTAAACACCTTTTCTATTGTCTATTGAATGAAATAAAACTGCACAGTTTTAAAGAGGACCCAAGGAACAATACTAGCATAAGAGCATCAGCCAGTACTTGATGTGATTAGATTAATGTATGTAGAAAATAGCGGTTTTACCTGAGAGAATGCAATAAATAGGATAAGCATGGGAATTCCAATTTCTACACATCTTCCAACCTGTTACACATTATAAAAAAGATTCAGAATAGAAGAAGCAGTAAATGTGTTCACCTTTCTTTTTTTCTTTTTTTTTTTGGGAAAACTTGATAACTTTGAAGGCAAGTGTAACAGTACTGTGAGTGTATACATACCATGGGGAAGCCTCTATCGAATAGACCAAAACCCACCAATGAAATCACTGGAACCATTCCAAGTGGGCTGAAAAACCTGAAATGCCAAACCACAGTAATTGAATGTTAGATGCAATGGTGGTTTCATGATTAGGAGTAGTAAAATCTCAATGTTTAGTTGGAATTAAGAGTAAAAACCTGGAGCAGATTCCCCAAAGCTGACTGTAACCCAGTATAATTTGAATGCTTGATGCCACTATTAGAGCTCCTTGGATTGCTCTCATTGTTTGCAAAAATCTCTACAACAACAATATTCAAGACCACATGTCAAATTTCAGTTTTTTTTCTTTCCTTTTTAGACTTTCTACTGTTTACAGGTTATTTTGCCACGTGGTGGCCTTCACTGAAGTAAGTCCCACCCTTTGTGATCAAGGGCCACAAAGGGTGGTGGAAAACATCATCTTCTATGTTATATTGTTCTTTTGCATATTATATTATATGCTTCATCTCTAGCATCTAAATATGGACAAGAACCGCCAAACTCGTCCGAGTCACACAGGTCAACGCAGTACAGTAAAAACTTTGGCCTGACCGGTTGTTGGATTGCTGTAAGAGTTGGAATTTTCCTGCTAAGGCCACGATTGCATCGTCCAAACATGTCTCTACCACGTAGATATACTAACTTAAACGGGTCTCTTATGCGCACGTTAGCGAAAACGGCTTACAGCTTTATTGTCTTACCCAACCAAGGAGAAACGAAAAAGCCGAAAATATTAGGACAACGAGAGAGAGAGAGAGAGAGAAAGAGAGTCATTGGGTTCACCAACCTCATGAGGATCAGCGATTTGCGTCAAGGAGGAATCATGGATAATGGAGATGATCGGAACGAGGAAGGCGTAAGAACCTCCAATAACGGTTGGCAACCGGGTTCCAAATAGCGTCTGAAGCAGCGTATTAATTCCTCCCACAAATAACAGAGTCTGAACCAGCCTCACTTTATCGTCCTGGTGACAGAAAATTCATCCGTAATCACTATATGTAACAGCCAACAATGAAGATTATTAAGCATACCCGCGTTGAAAAATCAATAAACAGATAAACCCATCAAAGGCAAACTGATTTTAGTTCTTTTTCATTTTTCCTTTTGACACAGTACTAAAAAAATATTGTCTTTCAGTTGGTTATTGGTCGAATTGATTAATACTTAGTTTCTTCTTCTTTTTACTGTAATGAATCGAAGAAGAAATAATGATAAAATCAAAGAAAAGAAGGATAGGCATTGTAAGTTCTGACATCTGTTCCTCCTATCATTGTTACAAGCAAAGTGGGTATCATCACTGCAGTGCCTAAAGCCAAGATGTAATGCTGAAAACCCAAAGCAATTGCCTCCCCTGTTACAAACACACATAAAAGGACTCAAAAGAAGAACAAAGAAACCATAAAAGAAAACAAACTGGACAAACAATGAAACAATCAGTGATGGAGAGTGGGAAGGTGGAGAAAGAAGCTTACCCCAAGAAGGATTGGAGTCGATACAGTACTCGAAGCCTTGAAGTTGATCCATTGGTGGGTGGCTTATTTCTTCTGGTTTTGGTGCCTCCATGGATTACAGTCACTTGATTTTTAACTCACAGTGCTTCTTGTTATTCCTATAGAATATCACAATATGGGTGTCTCTCTTCGACGCTATGAGAGAGAGAGAGAGAGAGCGTCAAGCTCTTATCAGATGTATTCTAGATAGAACTTGGATGAATCAACCAGAAAGAAGGGGGGGGGGGGGATCGATAGAGAGCTAAAGCTGTAGAATAGATGGTGAAAAGCCCAAAGAAGATGGCAAGAAAGAAGGAAGAAAGCCGAGGGATGCTGAAGCAGATAGTGAAAGAGAGAAGCAGGGAAAGCAAAAGGTGAAGTGAACAAAGAGGAGAATGAGAGGGATAGAAATGCATTTGCCGCCCACTCATCTCCTTTGTTTCCCTTCTTTTTTAAATCTTTTTTATTATTTCTCTGATTACTAGTGTTACCGTTAACTTTTTTGTTATTCCCAAATTGCCCCTTAAGGAACTTCCAAGCCGAAAGTTACCGTTGCTGACTGGTTACTGCTGCCTGCTGCTCCACTGTGCAAAAATCAATTTAAGATTCAGCCCCTCTCACCAGTCACCACCCACACCCACCACCACCACCGGTTCAGAGTCAGAAGACTTCATACTTTGAGGCTTCGTATTAACAAATCACAACCAAAGAAGGTTCCTCCTCCATCTTTACATCTTAGAAGAGAAAAAGGTTTGATCTTTTTTCCTGGTCAAAAAGACAAGAGGGGGTCCCATGACTATATACAGAACCATTTCTTTTCCATCAAATCAATGCTTAAATTTGATGACATACTAAGCGTTTCCATCAACCCTTCTTGAACTAACATAGATCTGTCAATGGGCCGGGTCTATCTGACAGAACCGAACCGACGGAACCCATTATTTGATTCTGGTTTTGTCCCGATTAATAATTGAGTCGGACAGGTTTTTTCTGTTCCAAACCGATTATATGGATGATAATATATAAAAATCTCCTGATTTTCTTGTAATTTTGTTACATTTTATATAGATAAATTTCATAAACAGTATTTAAGATAAGTATGATTAAAAACACATATTTTATCAACATATAAACAGTTTAGTATTTTGCTTAGTATATGCCAAGTAGAATCGGATCAGACTTGATTGTCCCGATAAATAATTAGTTTGGTTTTAGGTCTTTCTTATGACCCGTTGACAGCTCTAAACACATGATGTTGATTTGTTTTGGAAAATCAGTAAATTTTGTTATTTTGTATCATTTTTGCTATGTAAGCCGATTTTTGAAAAATTAGCTTTGAATCTATTTAATTCTTAAGGGACGATTATTTTGGTATTAGAGTTATTATTTCAACAATCAATTTTTGACCAATTTCTTGAAAATCACCAAATTCGGCTAACCAAATAGGTTGATTCCTCTAACGCTGATGTGGCTTCAACATAGCAGTGATTTTCAAGAAATCATCATCATGCCAAACATCAGATGATCCAATTTGATATGCCGGTCCAACCGAATTGACTCAAACATAGTGAATGGCTGAACCAGCCATGATAACTACGGTCTACTTTGTATTTGAAATATTGATTGAAATCTAGCATGGAGTTGAATTCAATCAAAAATCACGAGAGAGCAGAGAGAAAGAAAGAAATGAAAATGAAGGGTCGTGGCTCAAGTGGGGTTCAGCTTTGTATTGTAGCTTTGTTTCGTACGCTTTATGTACCCAAGGTTGCTGTGTTTAATTAAACCGAGTCTGACTCGGCGCCCATGTGTGAACCAGAGCCTCCCCCCTCGAATCTCCAACGTCTCTATTTTTCATATCCAGACATACATTGAAAGCCGAGCCTCAGCTTACTAAATAGGAGTCCCTCATATTTACCTTTTCTCACAATTTTTATTACTTTGGTGGCAGTCAAATTGTTCATTTTTACTGATTTTACCACTCCCCGCAAAACATGCAATCATTTATGAATCCCTTCACCAACTTTGGAGTAAAATAAAAGTGGATTCATGCACAACGCATATTTTATTAATGGGGCGCTGTAGTCATTAAAACCGTGGACGTTTATTTACTAAATGTTTTGTATTTGATTTTTTCTGGAAGATGGAGAAAAGCAATAATAAATCCCTTTGTTGATATTTAAGTGTTATTAGGCATTAAATTAATAAAATAGTGAATAAATGTTTCTGTTAAAATGAAACTTTTCCCAACGGTAGACATATACATAAAATGAAGCATACTATTATAAGTCTCTGTGTGTATGGATCCAGGAAATGCTGAACTGTCATCTATGTGGTAACGTTTATTTAACAAACACCCTTTAAATAGGAAAACCTACATTTCTTGCAAAAGACAGAACTACCCTTGTTTTTTCATTTTTTAAAAGAGTTTTTGCATCTTTACATATATATTTTTATATATAGAGTAGGGTTGTCAACTTGGGTCAGGATAGGATAGAATTGGAATCAACTTGACAAGAAATATCAAGGAATCAGAATTGACCAAATCCTTTAAGATATGTAATTTTAGATCTAGAATTGAATTGATCATTTCTTGGGACAATTGGATCTTACTCGATGGATCAGATTATAATAAACTTGTTGAGAACATTATACATTTAATATATATATATATATATATATATATATATAATATTATTATATATAATAATATAATAATTACGACAATAGGTTAAAGAACCAAAATGACCTATCCATTGCCGCTAGAAGTTTTATTGACAATTGGGAAAATGCCACTAAAAAAAGTGTTGCTAGAAGTTCTAGCAATAGTTTTCTCAGCTGCTAGTAAAAGCAAAAAACTGCCGCTAAAATTTCTTTAATGGCAGTCATGGGCATCTTTAGTGGTAGTCGCGATTGCTGTTAAATCTATTTACACTTTTTATATAACCTGTATTTTTTTAATTTTATTTCTAATTTTCTTCAAATAACCTGTTTCTCTACATTCATCTAAATTAAAATGAAATACAAAAATTAAAACATCAATTACAAATAAAATTTAAAAATCTATTCTCCATTCAAAACATTTGAGTCACAAATACATTTTAGTTTCAAATTGATAGATTCTTGGTTTGTACAAGAGATATTTCCTTCACAATGCCATTTTGGGGACTTTTCAAATCAAGACTTCATCAACAAATAGCTGCTATTTTGAGATGAGTACCTCAAAGGTTCTCTATCATAGGGATCCTCACTCTGAGCAAACAACCTGTCCTGTGAAGCTGAGCTACTTCCTGAAGATGAATTGACATGGCATTATAATTCCCAGTATGAATATATTGACCCCTGGATATTCTTGGCCATAAAGCCTTCGGCTTTCCACTCCTTGGGACCAAAATGTTTGTATTCCCCTTGCTTGGGAATAAGCTCTGAGGCCCTTCATAACCTAACCAATCTATACCTTTAGTTCTGAAATCATATATCTATTCTAGCTAATCAATACCTTCCTAGTCACTTCTAGGTCATAGTCATCCAACATTAGTTTGGTATCAGAACAGTCAGTCCTATACATCATTTGGCATTAGAGCAAGTGATATCATTAATTTGTATAGGAGCAGTGAACCCTATATAAATTTTGTGTCAAATCAAGTTAACCTACATCAGTTGGTATAATAGCAAGTTATTCTATAATTATTTACAGCCCTTTCGTAAGGTTCATACTCAGCTCTTTCTTGAGTTTCATACACATCATGCTTGCAGCAAAATTAATTTTAGCCAATAACTAAATTAATTCTTATAGATTTCTATGAACAATTGTAATTTCAAATTTGATGCATTATGCCAAAAATTATAGTATTTTTTATGCAATCATCAAGGAATGTTCAACTTTTCCTAGTTCTCTCATCTAAGTTACACCTAGAGGGCTTTTGGACCCCTCTGATTGTATTCCTCCAACTGCACACACTCAAATATATAAGTATTTAAGATCCGTCCAAATATAAACAACGCATAAATGACAACTCAAAACAAACTCAGATCAGCCAATGAAAAGAAATGTCATATGGTAGTCCAACTAATATTCATAGTTTTCTGAACGAGAATCTGGTCACTGCTCTCCAAATTCTTGAAAGCCCAAAACAAACTGAAGAAAAAATTAATAAGAAAAATTATCCTGAGAGAAGGAGAGAGAGAGAGAGAGAAGGGTTGCTATCCCTGAATAGGAAGAAGAAGGCCTCGAGGTGGATGCTCCTCTTATGGAAGATATTAAGATGCTTGAGCTACGAGGTTCTCTGTGACATGAGGGGGGGAAGGAGAAAGAAGGCAGAAATAGAATGAGGAGGGAAAAACCCCAATTCACGCCATGCTTATTCGCGGCAAATCAACTAATTCTAATTCTATGAAGGCAGCCACTTATTCCTAAAAAGGGATTAAGATTTTGTTTACTATTAAATATGATTTTAATTTAATTAGAGGCCTTTTTTCTTTTTGAATTAAAGCATTAAGCATCTCTTAAGAAGGTTTGTCGTTTACAATAAGATCAAGAATGAAATCTGGTTAAAACGACCACGTGTAAATGCTTTGAATTGAGGCAATTTTGCAATGATATGAGTGCATTTCTCTAGTCGTCAAAAGCGATTTTTGGAAAGTTTCAAATGGAGTTTTTGTATTATTTTCTATTTGTCTTTGTATGGAAAGGCGCACGGTAAAATATGCCTTCATCAAACGGGCTTTAGGCAGCTCAAATCTTAATATAAAAGTTCTATACGTCTTTTGACTATCAGAGCTATCAGAAGATCTTCCTAAAAAGACTTGCCAAACAACCCCTACGTTAGAGGCTATTACTTGAGAAAGCGGCTTCTTTTGAGTAGGAAGGCAGCCACTTAAAACATTATATATTATTAATTTGGATTCGACTATATGATGCTGGAAAGATGTGATACTGAAAAAAAATTACAACCAATCAACCAGCATATTATTAAAAAAAATTATAAACAATCAGATGGGTTTTCACCAAAATTTACACTATTAGTTTTTATTAGCTAATTTTCTGATAAGTATGTTATATGATCCTGCCTGTATCAAACATTCATATGTAAATATGTAATGCTTATAAATATATTAAGCATGTATATATGTATTTACATAATTTGTTCTTATGTTAGGAAATAAAATGATATCTTGTTTGTCAAGTATATAATCTGCCAAATTGTATAGACAGAAGTAGTATATAATTTCCAAGGTTTTTTTGGTAAATAGAAGATTAGAAGCCATCAACTATTAATTTATTTCTAGGTGTACATCTGTACATCTATCTCCAACGGTTCAACCTACATATCAAGTACCAACAATCAAGGTTCAAAGTATCGGAAACGTTATGTGTATCGGAAAGGCAAATTTAAGAGATATATTGGGATACACCTTGGATACGCATGGATACAGACAAAAAATTAAGA